CGCCAGCATGATTTCCCCTGAAAAAGTGTGCATATGTACTCAGTACTTGGTTTGGGCCCCTTTTGCAGCAATGACTGCCACAGTGCAGCGTGACATGGATGCTATCAGCCTGTGGCACTGCTGAGGTGTTATGGAAGACCAGGATGCTTCAATAGCGGCCTTCAGCTCCGCTGCATTGTTCGGTCTCATGTCCCTCATGTAGAAAAAGGTGCACAAGCAGCAGGGATGACCGCAGGTAGAAAAAGGTGCACAAGCAGCAGGGATGACCGCAGGTAGAAAAAGGTGCACAAGCAGCAGGGATGACCGCAGGTAGAAAAAGGTGCACAAGCAGCAGGGATGACCGCAGGTAGAAAAAGGTGCACAAGCAGCAGGGATGACCGCAGGTAGAAAAAGGTGCACAAGCAGCAGGGATGACCGCAGGTAGAAAAAGGTGCACAAGCAGCAGGGATGACCGCAGGTAGAAAAAGGTGCACAAGCAGCAGGGATGACCGCAGGTAGAAAAAGGTGCACAAGCAGCAGGGATGACCGCAGGTAGAAAAAGGTGCACAAGCAGCAGGGATGACCGCAGGTAGAAAAAGGTGCACAAGCAGCAGGGATGACCGCAGCGTCCAAGCAGTCACTGCAGAGTCGGTAACGACTGAGCACAGATAAAAAAAAAAAAAAGGCTTGACATATCTCGCTTTGCATGTAATGCGTCAATCTCATATATTGGTTTCACCTTTTGAGTTGCCGTACTGACATAAATGAATATTTGCACGATATTCTAATTTTTCGAGTTTCACCTGTATATCTTCTTCAGCTATAATGTCAGTCATGAAAACCAATAATGATGTCGGGAAAATAACAACAGGGTTGATTTGATACCTGTATCAGACTAAAGAAATTTATTATCAAGGAGTTTTTTAAAGTCTTATTAGTTTAATAGTACATTATGTTGCAATAAATTGTAAATACAGTATTCCTGTTTACATGTTTATAATATTTTGTGCAAATAGGTTATGAGATCTGGGCGTTGAATTGCAAAGCATTACATTAAATCTAAAATAAAACATTTTATGCTGCACCATCTTTAATTCTAAGCCACATTCAGTTCAGGCTACTATATTATTCCAAGAATTTATTCTATTTATATCTTATCTTTCTGCCCAGAGGACACTCAGTATAGCTACTTAACAAATTCTCTCTCTTCACAGGACTCACTGCCAGAGAAATTGGCTGTCCATGAGAGAAATGTCAAAGAATTTGATGCCTTTGTAGAAACCTTACAGTGAAATTGAACCAAGCTAGAGCAGCATCAGACTTCTTCTTGGGCACTGTGGAAAAGCAAGCCTATACATTTTGCATCTGCCTCTCTTCCTTCAGTGTCCTGTTACGTTGCACCAACCACTTCATTTGCTTGCTGTGCTCTGTCTGATGCAGAAAGTAATGTGCATTATTTTGAACTGATCTTGTGATGAGTTAATTCATTTTCCTTCCTGTTAAAATTGGCATCTACAGCAGTACAGTAAGGAACAAAATCGTCAACGCTTTTGCTTTCTTTTATCTCGTCTGTGATGATTGTCTATTGCTTCTGCCTCCATCAACTGTTGTCCCTTTTCACTTGATTGAGTAGTACCATCAATTGAAAGGAACAAAACAAACAGAACAATCTATGCTACATTGAGTCTAAACACTAGTGCTGCAGAATTACCCTATTTTCAGTTAGTGCGTTTCATATACTACAAGGGATAATATTCACTTTTAATGCTCTAAATAATGGAAACAAAGTATTGCACATTTGCATGCGCAATTAAGAAATGAAGAGCACAGTTCTTTCCCTGCTGCACAGCTGGGAAGTAATCCATAAGCAGAAAAAAGTGCTTTTCATATATTTTTCCACCAATAGAGTCAAAAACAATGCCTGTCTAAGTCTTGTTGCTTTTGAAGAAGGTTCAGAGTTCATGGGGTCTTCTTACAGTTGGTAATTATAAATGTGTTAGTAATCCTAATTCTTTAGGATTACTTAATTAGGAATCTTTAGTCCAAAGTTTTTCCAGATGCTGCTGCTCTATGGTAAGAGAAATAAGACATATTTATTATTCTAAAGGAAAACTATATTTAAAGAAAAATTGTATGTGATGTTTTCACTTTGTTATGTAGCCATAGGCTGCTGTGTTCTTTGTCACTGCAAAAGTGCTGTACTAAACAACTCTGCAAAGAGTGAGGGCATCTTCCTTCCCCTTGCTCTTTGCAGGGTGAATCAGAATACCTTTTTCCCCCCAAAACAGACGTGTTATGCTGGGAAATGTATCTTTCCCAGAAACTGACTTGATCTTCATTCTGCCCTCTTAGGGTCTAGAAATGTCATGATTAAGATGCTTGCTCTGGTGTAGTGAATTTGCAGAGTTCTAAAAAGCTGAGCTTTGTAAAATAAACTTACTGTAATCTGCGGTGAGTTAGAAAGTAACTTGGTATAAAAGCACATTTTATGAGATTTATGGTACTTGTTCTATCCCGCAACATTTTGTTAGAAGTTTTTTTCTAATGAATTAGGCATTAAGTAATGAAATTGGCTGGCATTTCTATATGTTCTGTTTGCTCCATGTTCCACAGCAAGTATGGGGAAGGGAAAAGACAAGACACTAACCTTGAGTTCAGGGATAAGCTAGGCTCTGGGCACAACTTCTTCTTTCCACTGTCAAAAAACAGGCTAAGGATTCACCTCTATGTATATTTTCTTGGGAGCAAGTTTTTCTTAAATTTGGGAAGATATTTTTGAGTAAACCTGTTTAGGATTGGACTGTCATATATTGAAGAAAGATCATATCCCCTCACTCCTTTTGTCTTTGATCTTAGATGCTTTTTGTATGATTGTTGGCTTTAGATATGAAGGATATTTACAGTTTAAAATAATGGGATGTTGACTTCCTGAAGTACAGTGCTCCGCTCTTTTAGGTTTAGCTTATTTGGGGCCTGAGGCAGGGTGGTTGAGGGGGGGGGAGTAGTAGGGCAGTATACATCTTCTGGAGCTTTCTATTCCCTGCTGCTTTGCAGAAATGAGCAGAAAATTAAATCTTTTGTCTTCTAGCATGTAGTTTATATTAATAGCTCAAACTGTAAGAAGCTTATTTAAGTCGACTAAAAAAAATAATCTTTTAAATATATTTTCAAAGCACCAGTGATGATACTGTTATCCGCTATTGGTCCATTGAAGAACACACATCTAGATTCATACCTAAATTGCTCCTAAGTGGGGGGGGGGTTGTTTTTGGGCTAAGAATGATAGTAACATCAAAACTACTTCAAAATAAATTGGCAGAAAGAAGTTCCAACCCATAGCCATATCTGCATAAAGTAGGGCTTGATTCCCAGAGTATTTACCAAGCCCTTTAGCTTTATAATCAAAATATAATATGAATACAGGGGAGGGGGAAATTCCTTATTATTACCCATGAAATGTCAGGTGACTTGTACTGATGTAGAGCTATTCTTCTTTGCCTAAGCAGGATGGGTTTTCCACCATTGATTACAGGAGAGCCTATTCCTGTAAATGAAGATATCTGATAAGGAAATTGCATTTCTACTGTTCCTATTGTGGGGTCAAGTAAAAGTCGCTTCTCTTTCAAAACTGAGTTGCTTTATGCACTTTTACCTTGACATTTGTGCCACAGCACTTATTTTGTTCCCCTTCAATTTCACAATAAGCATTTTGTGACAGTTAAGGGAATTTAGTCAAATAACTATTTATTCTCATAGTCTAAAATTATACAGATAATAAAATAAAAATATAACTTCTGTATCTCTGAATAGAATTAAGAGTTACTCATGTTGATATTCATTTGCTATGTATAGGAATAATGCTGGGTTTTTCTTACACCGAAGTACATTCAGGATTGTATCCAATGGTGTGATTCTGATGTTCTACCAACAGAATACCCCTTTGAGAACTTCACAGATTGGGGGTACTTGGGAGGGGGGAGGAAACAGCAAGACATTTGCTTACATATTGTAAGGCTCTGTTGTCTGAGTCCTGTTTTTTTGTTTATTCTTTGAACAAATTCTCATTGATTCTGCCTAATAAATGCATCAATTTACTAGCCCAAACAGTCCTGTTCTAGGATGGATCCAGTTAATTATAGATCTTCAAAGTAGGATACATTACTGTCTACCTATTTGTACCACAATGCTCTCAATCAGAATTTGTGCATGACTGGCAACATTCACGTGCACCAATTGAAGGAAGAAGGGTCCTCCACTGCATTTCTTTGAAAACACTTTTCAGAATAATCCACCATATATTCATACAATTTCCAATAAAACATTTGTGTTACTTTAAATTCAGCTGTGAACTATAGTTTCACTGTCTTTTCTACTGAAACTTCTGATTCTAGCAGGGCAGGGTAAACAGCTGCCTCCCAGCTAAAGCCCCCAAACATCTAACTCTTCATTACTATTTGCAGAATGGCTATTTTCGTAGCACCTTTCCCACATTTTTTCCCCAGAAATATGCCTCTCCAGGTTCAGTACAACTTTCAAGTATTAATGCACAGGATTGCATAAGAAGCATTTTGTGTTAAATGCTCAAGGGCAGCAAATTGCCTTGGAATAAATATGTATATATACACACCCACACACACTCCAGTGTAGAAGATTTACTATGAAACAGAAGTAATAGTAAGGTTTTCTATGACATCCATCTTGTCTCCCTTACAATGTAATGCAATAGTAGAAATTTGATGAATTACACTGCTGGCTCTAGAGTATTAGCATTTGAGAAAAATTAGTAATAATTTAAATACAGACAGTCCCCTGCTTACAAATGGGTTACGTTCCAAGAAGCTGTTCGTAAGTCCATTTTGTTCATAAGTCCAACAAGCAAAAAAAAAAAAAAAAGGTGGAGGCAGGATGCAGGGCCGGGGGGGCATGGCACACTCCATTATCAGGCAAGGCAGGAGATCTCTGCCCCCTCTCCCATCCTCTGCTACCGCCCCCTCTCCTGCCTCACCCGGCAACAGTGCACGCCACGTAAACTAACCTTTTCTGGGAACTCCAACTTCAATGCAAACCTCAAATGCAAATGGAATGAGAAGGTGGAAGAGGGTTTGCGATGTGCTGTAAACTAATCCTTTCCTGCCTTCTCCCGCTTTCCAGTTCCAACCAGCCTGACTCCCAGTTCTGACTTGCGGGTCTATCCTGTTTGTATCGGTGAAAGTTTGCAACATGAAAGTTTGCAAGTAGGGGACTGTCTGTATTCCAGAAACACATCTATAGAGGTTTGCTGTTGTCTTCATGAAAGACTAGAAGTGTACTTTAGAACAGGAGCAAAATATGTACCCAGAAGCCACCTAGAATCCTAGGAGACATCACGTGTGTGTATAAGGATATACAGTGCATTCGGGAAGTATTCAGACCCCCTTCACTTTTTTCAATTTTGTTATG